GGAGGAAACGACTACGTCAGTGCAGCACAGGACTGAACTGACCCACCTCCCACGCTGAGGGACGTTAAGGATGCCATTCAGCAGCTCAAAAACAACAAAGCAGCTGGTAAGGATGGTATAGCAGCCGAACTCATCAAGATGGGCCCAGAAAAGTTGGCCACCTGCCTGCACCGGATGATAGTCAGGATGTGGGAAACAGAACAGCTACCGGAGGAGTGGAAGGAGGGGGTAATCTGCCCCATTCACAAGAAAGGCGACCATTTGGAATGTGAGAACTTCAGATCGATCACCATTTTGAATGCCGCCTACAAAGTGCTATGCCAGATCAGCTTCCGTCGTCTATCACCTAAAATGACCGAGTTCGTGGGAAGTTATCAAGCCAGCTTCGTTGACGTGCCGTGAATACCAGGTCCCAACGCATCATTTGTTCATCGACTTTAAGGCGGCATACGACAGAGCTATGGAAAATCATGGACGAGAACGGCTTTCCTGAAAAGCTGACCAGACTGATCAAAGCAACGATGGACGGTGTGCAAAACTGCGGAAGGGTTTCGGGTGAACTATCCAGTTCATTCGAATCTCGCCGGGGACTGCGACAAGGTGACGGACTCTCATGCCTACTCTTCAACATCGCTCTAGAAGGTGTAATGCGACGAGCCGGGCTCAACAACCGGGGTACGATTTTCACGAAATCCGGTAAATTTGTGCTTTGCGGACGACATGGACATTATCGCAAGAACATTTGGAACGGTGACAGAACTATACACCCCCCTGAAACACGAAGCAGCAAAGGTCGGACTGGTGGTGAGTGCGTCAAAAACAAAGTACCTGCTAGTAGGCGGAACCGAACATGACAGGATTCGTCTAGGAAGTAATGTCACGATAGACGGGGATAATTTCGAGGTAGTGAAGGAATTCGTTTACCTTGGATCCTTAATGACGGCTGACAACAATGTGAGTCGTGAAATACGAAGGCGCATCATCAGTGGAAGTCGTGCCTACTACGGGCTCCAGAAGAAACTACGGTCAAAAAAGATTCACCTCCGCACCAAATGTACCATGTATAGAACGCTGATAAGACCGGTGGTCCTCTATGGACACGAGACATGGACTATGCTCGAGGAGGACCTGCAAGCACTCGGAGTTTTCGAGCGACGTGTGCTAAGGACGATCTTCGGCGGTGTGCAGGAGAACGGTGAGTGGCGGCGAAGAATAAACCACGAGCTCACTGCACTCTACGGCGAACCCAGCATCCAGAAGGTGGCCAAAGCCGGAAGGATGCGGTGGGCAGGGCATGTTGCAAGAATGCCGGACAACAACCCTGCAAAGTTGGTGTTCGCTACTGATCCGGTTGGCACAAGAAGGCGTGGAGCGCAGAGAGCACGATGGGCGGACCAGGTAGAGCGTGATCTAACGAACATTGGGCATGAACGAGGATGGAGAGCGGCAGCCGCAAACCGAGTATTGTGGCGTACTACTGTTGATTATGTCTTATCTTAAATGTGATGTTGTACAGTATGTATGTATGTTTGAAAAATCTTGGAATATCTGGAACATATTTAAAAAATCTGGAAATTGACGTGGTACTCTGCCTGTGTATATGACAAGATGACATAAAATCTGAAAAATCCAAATAAATCTTGAATACGCAACGTTCACAAACATTACACTTGATATTGACTCTTAAGATACATAATAGTTTAGTGATTAACAAATGAGTTTTCCTCCTGGTCATGTGAAATCTTACAACATAGGAAATTATTTAAATATTCATGCTATAGAAATTGCTTTCTTAACATAAACTTCTGGGAACAAGAATAGCACTTCTATAGAACGACTGTAAGTATGACCAAAGCACTGATAAATGTTGATTCCAAACATTTCACTAAGCACAACTTCAATGTAACAACTGCAAAAAAAAACTTGAATAGACTAGTCTAATTCTGAGCTGTTTTGTCTAACTGGTATTCGTGTCTAATTGGTTGCCAGATTAATCTGTGTTTCCACAGATTATTCAGAGTATTTAAAACCAACAATCTGTATTCACAGATCACAGATTTTTAGGTTTTAAAAAGATCAAATAGGTTTTTAAATTATGATCAAACACCGCAAACTTAAGTTATTTAAAAACCACAACAACCTACTCTAATTTCTACATATTTTTTATATAAAAAAAGTAGAATGAGAACTGTTAAAAGTATTCATTTTTGGCTACGTCAAAGGTAATTTATTATACATTCATTTGTATCACTGTTATGTCTCTTTCAGAAAAATCGCCTAATCACTTTGAAGAACATTTTTAATGGATTTAATTCATAAACTATCAACACTGATATCATCGCACATTTTCAGGACATAAAATAGGATGACAAGATTTTCCGGAACAAAAACACAGACCCTGTTCGTCTAAGATTGTACCGATGAATAACTACTAAAGCATAACTAGATCATCAAAATCTGATAGCGTTTGATTTGTTTTTGATTCAATTCCAACCTAAATCGGTTATCAACATAGGGTGTGTTTGTTGTGTAACAAACGTCAGTTGTTTTTGTTTTTTGTAACCTGGGTCGGGTTGAGGTTCGCATTGACAAAAAGATCGAATAGTAAACAAATTCACATCAATATTATCTGCACCAGCTGCGGAAGCAAAATTCTTCAAGCGCAACAAATTAACTATGCCTATCAATGAAAACATTCGTTTCTTAACCTTCCAGCAGTCGCATTTTTATCAAAAATTTCCTTGGATCCTCGAAAGCGGAAGAGTTGACCGTGAGTTACAATTAAAATTACGAATCAATAAGAGTGAAGTTTTGTTGTTTATTCGCTTGCAAAAATACCGCTCATTCTTCGGTGGTTTGACGCGACTACTTTTGGGTTAACCCCTATTCGCTTGCAATTCGATTTGAAACTCGATACACATTCCAATCCACGCGTCGCAGTTCTTTCTGAGAGCATTTTAATGATCCAATTTAGTCGACCTAACTGGCAACTTAACAGAACGTACCACCGCTCACAGACCACCAGAAGCTATGATTCGCGTACACCGAGATTAATTAGGATAATGAATACCAATCAAAGCCCCTTGGGAGCATAACTGCGTAGGTACATGGGCTTGCATATTCGCGGCATCTTCTTGCGATCACCATCGAATTTCAGCTGGTTGTTCCTTTGTTTTCAACGCAATTCCAACCATGCTCCAGCCCAGAACAAAGCGTGCTAATCCCTTGTCATTCTGGAATTCTTCTTCTACACCTCTCTCCTCTCAGCATCAGCACGTGGTGTTTGCACAGGACGGCAGCTTCAAAGAGCGTGAGGTCTCAAATTTTTTTTTGCAGTACCCAAGGAAACTGACAGCATAACAAACGTCTCGCAATTCTCCCACCCAGCTCCCTTCATTGGAACCCAGGGAGCGGGAGCGTACCGCGTGTGCATTTGGGAAATCCGGGAGAACGTTCTCACGAGAATAATGTTGTTGATTCCGCCGCTGTCAGGAACAACAAAAGGTAGCGGCATTCAAGTGAAAGGCACTCACGTGAGATTTGACAGTGTACTTCCCTCACGCGCTCTCTCTCAACAAATCAGCTGTTTGTCAAATTCAGCTGTTTACCCTGTTATGCCATCACCTCGGCCCATCAAGAACGCGGCGACGTTCTTCCAATCGTTGCAGTTTTTTTTTTTTGTTTTGCCAAGAAAACACGCATTCTGCTACATAGGCATTTATCCGAGCAGACTTTTGCGTAATGACACACATTATCACACACGGCGGACCATTGGGGTACGGTGGAAGGGGTCTGTCAAAAAAAAAATGTCTTCCACACAAGCAGGCTCTCGGGCGATCAACTCTCGCTTTTTTGGCCAACCGAAAACCTGACACCAGACGGGGGTCCACAGTCCGCAGTCCGGTTCGGTCCAGTGGCACCACACACGATCAGGTTGTTGTTGGGGCGCGCACAACTACACTCTCAACCCCTGGTCGGTAAGGTGCTCTCTTACACTACTCCGCGGGGTCCGGGGGGGCCTCCTAGCCAGGCCAAAAGGGGCGCGCGCACACACGAATGCATGTTTTCTGTTTTCTCGTTTGCCCATTTATTAATTTTCAATGAAAGTTGATTAAACAAGTTATTCGCTGCTGCTGCTGGTGCTGCAGAGCTGCAGAGCTGCTGAGCTGTGCTGTTGTGTCTTTCGTTTTCTTCGAGCTGCTTTTTCGCTGTGGCTCTTTTCGTTTCGCTCGTTTCTCTTTTTTCGAAGCAAATCACATATACACTTTTATTACGTCTCGACTTTCTAAGTTAGTTTTTTTACTACTTTTTTTTTCAGTTTTCGTAATGATTTTTCAATCATTCCCCGCGCGCACAACGGTATGCAGGCCATGCCAGGCGCGTGCGATTCACCTCTGCCGCGTTTTCTTCCCCGCATTGTTCGACCCCTCGTCGATGATCGAAAATGGGTTAACGGGACACAATTCCCAGTCGAAAAATCGACCAAAAAAAAAAAAACAAGCAGAGCTGCCAGAAAAATCCTTCCGTTTGCTTTGAGCTGGATTTCTCTTTCGAAAGGTCACACGCCAGCAATGCCCTCAGAGTTAACACCGACCACATCCTCGGGTTTGCTTTTGGTAAATCCTCATTCGCCAGCAATGTCATTCACTCTCTCCTCGCGACGTCGTCGTCGTCGTCGTCGTCGCTGATGTGCATCAGTAGGCAGTTACTGGCGGTCGTTGCGCGGTTTACTATCAGTTTCAGCAGAGGTAATTGCGCGAAAATGACGAATACAAAAAATACCTCAAAGTGAGAGCCAACCGAAATTATGTAATCTCTGCGCTCGAAAGTGAGCTTCACTATCTTTGGAAAATTTCTCTTTTACTGTTGCTTTTATGCTGCCTGCCTTCACACACATAGGCCACCACTCTCGCACACGCATTGCACATCAGTAGTCCTGGACATCTAAGTAGTGTTTTCTAGGGGTTGTCCCGCCCTCTAGGGGGATCGATCGCACTTACCTGATTCTTCTTGAAGAGATTGCGTACCAAAGACGAGCTGTAGAAATTGCGCACACCACCACCGTTGATCGAACCACCGAACATTCCAACACTTGGTCCATATTTCAGAGCTTCCACACTACCACCGAACGCCGAACTACCGGATTTCAACGTCGTAAACAACGGACCGCCACCACCACCACCGGACGAGAAAACGGTTCTCTTGGCATGATTCCCGACCGCGGCACTTCCAACAGCAGCAGCAGCAGTGACCTGGCCTGCACCACCAGAACTACCGGATCCAGTTCCGGTTCCGCCACCTGCAGCAGAGGCCACCACTAGATGTTGTTGCTGCTGTTGTTGCTGATGATGATAATTTTTGCCAACAACAAACTGACACAGTTTTTCCTGCACAACGCGGGCGCAGACCCGATTCGACGAACTTAAACACGCCATAGTCAAAAGAATTGTGAGCCGATCGGTCGGCAGCATTACGCTAGAAACCCCCCTTCGAGAGTCAGGCTTGAGCTCAGCAGCTCAGGTCTCAGTCGTCGCGGATCGGATCGGAGGAAAGCGCGTACGTATGGAGGATCTTGGAAGATTCGGAGTCGGAGACCTTAACCACCACCGCCGCGATTATCACACCGAAGACCGCGACCGCTCACAGCACACTTGATGCGGGAGAGAGAAAGAGAGAAAGAGAGCAAGGCTTCGCTCACAGTCTCAGGCAATTTTTTTTTTATCTACGGAGCGTGAGATACGACGAAGGCGCGAGAATGAGTGGCGATGCGCGCTGTGGGCGAGAAAGCACACCTGTGGGAATGAGAGAAGAAGAAAAAAGAGTTGATGTTAGTTGATAGGCTGTCTCTTTCCATATGCTGTTGAGTTCTTATCGCTATCGGGTAGTGCACTGGAACAAAACGTGTGAGGCTGTTGGGGATGTATTATTTTTAACCCTATGAAATTGATTTTCGATTTAGATCTTCAATTTAATTTGCTTGCTTGTTTTAAATCTTCAAATTTACAATGTGTTTTGGATGTTACTTTAGTTCCGTATCAATGTTGAATTCTAGCAAAACATCAAACTAATTGTAATATCAAGAATAATAGTTATTAATCAGTCGTGATTTAGTTGATATATTCAACGATCTAAGCTTCTGAATGATTTGGAGATCCTTTATGAGTTCATTCATACATATCTAGATAAACATTTCAAAAGGTCCTATCTGCATTGATCGAATCTCTTCATCGTCTTTCTCTTTCGTCAATAACTCAGCTGCAAAACCTTTCCCTGTTGTATTTGACGTTTTGGACGCTAGATAAGAACCTCCTTTATCAAGCTATGTGGTAGAAATAGCGCGAAATCTGTTTGCATAGCAGTGGTTATGAAAAGAGAAAGTCAATTAAGAGAATCGATCAAAGCATTTGAAATGTTCATCGAATATATTATATTCATTAAATTGTTATTGCATAGGCACCAAAATTCTGCTTGCATATGGTTCGGTGCTATGGACTTTATCTCAGCCGTGGTTAAATTAGTAGATCATATATTCTGAAGACGATGTTTGGAGGAGTTCCTAGAACATATTTTTTTTCCATTAATCCATAATCATCCATGAAATTTGATCTTAATCAATGTGCATAGTGACAGGATTGTACAGAAGCAATGAGTGAGGAACTCTTACCGAAGTACAACCTCACCATACTCCAGAACGGTGAACACACGAGGTTCGATGATTCTTCTGGTAAAACATCAGCAATTGATCTGACGCAATATCCAACGCGAAATCGTCTATGGGGAGTAAGCGAGGCTACATGCGGGAGCAATCATTTCCCTATCGGTCTGACTACCCTAACCCTTAAATGCGCACGATATTTAAAAAAAACATATTACAATAATTATCCTTCTACAACACGTTTTCTTCTCTAAAACTAACCAGTATGCATAAATAATAGAGAAAATGAGCGTTTTAATCTGAAGATATAGGTATGTTGTTTTAAAACAACATTGCGTCCTTATCGGATAATAAGCAGTAAGAGATTCAAATGTGTATTTTTAAAACAAATCACTTTTTATTGTCAGATTTGATCTTCATATACTTACAAATCGTGATGATATTTGCAGGGCTGTTACAATATTTTCTAAATTTGATCCGCGAAATCCGCGATTTCTCAAAAGAAATCCGCGACTTCAAATACTAATCCGCGACAAAAAAAAATGTTTTCATTACCTAAAAATACCATTTGTATACTACTACATGGCATTTCAAGCTTATTGCATATAGCATATTAGATTTTGCCTGCTCTGAACTTAGTGTTCTTTGAAGTACCTTCACATTGATTTGAGAGCTTTCTATGCCTGTACCATTCTATGCCCAAGGAAGTAGAGAAATTTGTCAAACCGAAAAATTAATAGACCGAACGGGAATCGAACTCAGTCGCCTCCAGCATGGCCTCGCTTTGTAGCTGCGCCTTTACCGCCTGAGCTAAAGGAGTATTGTTTGTATCCTTTGGAAAAAGAATTCAGTTGTTTATGAAGGTTTTTTTTTTAATTATTATGGTCACTTTAACACTCTTGAGTCATTCGTGACTTGTCCGGGGGTGAGATTTGAACTCGTGACTTTGGCGTGAGAGGTATGGATGTTAACCACTACGCCGGGGTCGCCCCCTAGTTTATGAATGTTTCTATTCAATAATACAGACCTAGACTTGATGAAGCATTATTTAAAAAAATGCATTTTCATTTGAAATGCAAATTTTCTTGAAAGTTAACCTTTGCGTCTCTGACGTATTTTGCTGTCCTAAATGTTGTAGTTAATTTGGCACTAGTTTTCTCAATTTTTGACCGATTCAAACCAAACACCCTGCACATAATCGAGAAATTACCAGAGTTTCATAAGTCACACTTGTTGGTCACGTCGCGGTTCTGTATTTACACAGATATTCCTTGGGGTCTGTCCAATGGTGAGACATTGTATTTTCGTTGGCAAATCATAACCGAATCATATATATGTGACTTTGTGGACCATGCACGACTTATTACTATGTGTACTGGAAATTATAGGTTTTACAAATATGATTTTTTCTACAAGATCAACCAAAACTGCAATAATGTCTGTAGTATCGAAAAATGTCCAAAATGTTTCAAAGTGTCTATGTGGATCATGCATGATCTATTTCCGAGTAATCCACATGTAAATTCTTCAAATCGTCCTGGAGTTCAGATAATTTGATCTACTAGATCAACCGAGATTGGGACAATGTCTTTAATATCGAAATATTTCCAGACAGATGCACAGTGTCTATGTGAATCATGCATAAACTATTGCCATGTATACCAGCTGTTTTGAGTTCTCCAAATCGTTCTGGAGTTCAGATGATTTATTCTACTAGATCAACCATGACTGGGATACAGTCTGTAGTATCGAATTATGTCCAAACAGATTCGTAGTGGCTATATGGATAATGTTTATTTATTTCCACGTATACCAGATGATCTATGATCTGTAGTATCGAAATATCGATATGGAAATCCTTAGGAAATATTTCTCATACACGAATATAGGTTGGCATGATCCACATAAACACTGCAAATTTATTTGGACATATTTTGATACTACAGATATTGAATTAGGCTTGGGTGATTTAGTAGAAACATAATCTGATCTTCAGAATGATTTCAGAACCTATAACACCTTGTATACGTAGCAATAGGTCGGGCACAATCCACATAGACACTTTGAATCTGTTTGGACATATTTCGATACTACAGACATTATTGCAGTCTTGGTTGATATAGTTGATCAAATCAACTAAACGACGATTTGGAGAACCTATAATATCCGGTATACATGGTAATTACCCGCATATATACGATTCGTTTATGATTTGACATCGAAAAATGCTGTGTTCATATTGGAAATAAATAAAAACATGAAAATGTCTCTCATTGGACAGACCTCACGGAATTTCCGTGTAAATCCGGTGTGACTTATGGAATTGAGATTATTTCTCGATTATTTGCAGGGTTTTTGGTTTGAACCGGTAAAAAATTGAGAGCCAAATGAACAACAAAATTGATGACAGCAAAATAATCTGGGACGGAAAGGTTACAATGAATTCCACAATTTTTGTGACAGCACATCAGTCCCTTCGCGATTTTCGCGACATCATTTAATGTTTCCGCGATTTTCGCGACTGAAAGTTCAAATCCGCGACAAATCCGCGAAAATCGCGAAATCCGCGAAATTTGCGAAATCCGCGCCTGTTGTAACAGCCCTGTATTTGTAGAAACAATTGCTATTTCTGGTATTGCACAAAGAAACTCCACACTTTTGACAGAAGTTATAGGTAAAACCTTTACAATTTGGATATTTGCATCGGCTCTGCTTATCTGACCACATCGTCTGACCACATCGATCCAGTCGAACATCTTTAGTTGGTACTGGCTGCGCAGGACCGTTGTGCTTCTTCTGCTGAAGTTTCTGTTCAATCCCTGAGCTATTCGGTCTACCACGTTTTGTAGATGGCAAACCAAGGTTGCAGAGAGTGTCTGCCAACTGTAGCCTGAATTTCCGGAGAGCCAAAATATCTGAATTATTTTCAAGTGAAACCTTCTTGTAGATTATCCACGCATTCACGATAGCCATATCTAGCAGGTGATAGAACAGACGAATGGTCCACTTGCGACTTTTTGCTGTTATTCGGTAACGACCAATGAAGCTATCCATAAGGTCCACTCCACCCATGTGCGCATTGTATTCCCTTACCGCTTTCGAACATTGTATGGATGTTCGTTGATATTGTGCTGACTGGTTCCGCTCCAACATATGTGGACAGTAAATTGACAGGTTTGTTGTCCTTCCAAACTATCGCACTAACTTGGACACCATCAACAGTTGTAATACATTCCTTGTAAAAACCTCTAGGATTATTCTTCTTCATAATTTCCTTCTTATCCGGCAGTTTCACATTTTTCAATCAGTTTACCCTTACTGTACCGAGGGAATGGATGCCTTATTTGGTAAGATGTGTTACCAGAGGAGGGGAGGTGTAGAAATTGTCAAAGTACAAAATATGGTTTACGTTGCGCGAAATGGATCGTATCAATCTTGTAACTAAATTTCCGGTTTCACACAAATTTGGCTCACCTGGTAACAGATTCATATGCTTGCTGCTACCAGAATAAACTTCGAAGTCATGAGCAAAGCCATTTATGCTACAAAGAAGAAACAACTTGAAGCGTCATTTGTGTGGTTTATTAGGTAAATACTGCTTCATATAGTGAGCCATTTTCGTAGCAAACATTTGCTCATCGACAGATAACTTCTGTATCATGGGTACTTTGCCGAAACTTGCTCTAAAGGATTCTATAACTGGTCGTATTTTATAGAGTCTATCGTGTTGAGGGTCTTCCTTAGGCAATATTCTTTCGTTATTGTTGAAATGAAGAATAGATTTTGAGGAATGAAGACTGAGACATAGTTGACCGAATAGGATCATAACCATATTGGCTACACCAATATGACTTCATATTCGGTAGCTTAGCTACCGAGCTGTATATCAATATACCCAGATATTTATTCATACCGGATTGGAGATATTCGTTTGAGCTGCATAAATATTGCTTTCGTCGACGATTTTGTCCCTCAGGTCCGTTGTGAAGAAATACGAGAAAAAACCGCATGGCGTATCGCATTCCAACAACTCATCGGGTAACCTGGCATCACCCTGGAAAATTATCTTATCTTGATCGAAGTCCATGTTTCCGTTCTGCCAGACAGGCTTAGCAATAGTCCTTTTCAAAGGTTTGCCAGAGGGTCCAGCTTGTTCATTCGATCTGAATTTCGCATCTGAAAGTTCTTCCGGGACAGGCTGTGCGTCGTCATCGTCAAATTCTGCGTCGGAGTCATCGAGATCTTGTATAAGTTTGTGTACCGATGTATAGTGCTCATGCTCATCCTCAAAATCTGAATCTAACTGGTTAAAACCATCCTCCGAATCATCGAGATTCTCCAAATATCGTCGAATCTGTTCATCAATAGAACATGCCATTTTTACCTAGAAGGAATTAAAAGATGCTGTAAAGGCGCAATGTTGTCTTAAAACAACATACAATGTTTGGACAAAAAAAAACGCATGTTTCATTGCTTATTCCGCAAAACTGTTATCACTCGCTTTAGATAACATAATTTACTATAGATTAGTAAATTTTTTAAACACTTACCTGTATTTATCGCACGAAATATTTGAGCTAAAATAACGTATGTCTAACTTATCGTGGGTATTCGCTTTCTCATGTTTTGACAGTAAAATCTGAACAACAAACTTTAACACAGTGCTTCCAGTTTACTTATTGTCTCATTTGAAGATTTAGGAACTACTAAAATGCAACTACACTTTTTGGCTCATCTCTGGTACTATCTTCAGTCCCAAACTAATCGATGCACCCCTCGAAACATTGGAAAATCCACGAACCCCTCATTTTATGTGTCAAACTTTCATAGCGAATCAAAACAAACATAGTGTAGTACTATAATTTCGACTAGAATGGGATACGTTAATCGATTTGCTTGGGAGTTTCGAATTGATTGTTGATAATAGCCGAAGGATAACCAAGTGGACGCCTCACTTCGTATGCAAGGATATTGATATATAGGTACGTGAGGAGTGGTATCGAACTAATGACATGTGCTATTTTTCAGTACTTAACTTACTTATGACAAGTAAGAAGAGTACGTTTCCATGTGTGTCCCATGTGGCTCTGAAACTTCTGTCAAATATTACAACCTCGGTCCCTTGGGAGCGTTTGTATTCGAAAACACGGCGAATTTCGAGGCGAACTGGGAGGCATTCAAGAAGATTATTACGGAAGCCATGTGGTGGAATAAAGATGTAGAAGTCGTCATCAAAACCCGTAGAAAATAATTACGAGCGTTGAAGCGCATTTCGGGAGATTATCCCAAGAAAATTGAAGCTGCAAAAGCATTTAGGTAAGCAAAATACACTCCCGTAAAAAAATTCAATGATTTTCATTGCAACCATGATATTCACTCTAAAAGCATTGGACATTTTTGTCGATTACCATTAAATCACAACGAAATTCATGGTTTACAACAATGCAAATCATGGTATTTGAGAAATTTACGTTAAAAAGCATCTTAACAATAAAAAAGCTGGTTTCTCGAACAAATTTGATCTCATAAAATGAATTTTCATTGTATCATTGTATCATTAAAAATCGAAATTTATTTTCTATCCAATAAAATATAATGTACTCGAAATTCAGCAGTCAAAATCATTGTAAGCTCTTGTCTAGAAAGCAAAAAACAAATCTTGGGCAAAAATTACTATCTAGCTTCAACTCTGATGTTCCCGTCTCATCTTTATGACGGAAAGTTAACTCCATTCGGGAACAACTGGATTAAAGCCACAAGACACGACAAACGAACGGAAAAACTGTGATCCTGAAGAAATGGTCGATTTTTTTGCTGAACGAGAATTCAACTACCGAAAACAACAGCCTTGCGTTCAGTTATAGCTGAAGTCGTCGTTGAGCAGGACGACGACGGTGTTATCAATAATTAGTTCCAAATTGACGAATTGATGTGGGCGGTTGGCAAAGGAATCGGAAAATCAGTTGGAGCGGATGGTATTGGCTATACCTCTTTTTAATAGAAACTAAGCGATCGATTGTGGTAAATTAGAGAACTTAAAAAAGAGTGTAGTGAGCACAATTTTTTTGCCTTGAGACATAGGAAGCTGAACAATTTTTCACGTTTCCTGATAAATTGATTCATCTGAGATGCTCAAAAACTTGATCTACAGTTGAAAAAAAATAATTTTATATAGTTTTTGCTGGTGTTCAGGAATATTTTTGTTGAGAAAAATGGAAATTTGAAAAGTTCCTTGGTGGTTATGATCTTCCAGATTTCTTGTGTGTGCATAGGAGTTGAAGTGCAAATCAGTTCAGATCTGTAGAAAGTCGTAAAATAAGACAATTACCGATGGAAATTGACAAGATGTTCAATGAAAAATAAACAAACGGTTTGGTTGACGATTCCTCTCGAACTCGCATGGCGCACTACATATTGGTGGTGTATTGAAAAAGCCTATCCTATACTAAAGCGGTTGCCTTTCTCTGCAAAATGCACTCTCCTCAAGGTGATTAACCAAATTTGGAAAGAAAGTACAAACCGTTTACGTCGAAACATAAAAAGAGGCGAATGATGCCCAACAAAAACTTCACGACTTGACATAACTTAGCAGTGTAGTCCGTCAACAGTGGACTTGTCACTAAAGGGTGAACGGAAGAAGAAGGTGAAGTATCCAGATCGGTGGAAGCTGGAGGGAGGAATTTGCTTACCAAAATATATAAAAATCAAAAAAAAAAGTCAGCAGCTACAGGCTAATATGTCTCCTTAGCTGTGTCTGAAAGCTAGTGTAACGTATAGTAAACCGGAGGCTTACCATAAGACTAAAAGCAGACCACCGTTTGGATCGACGTCAGTACGCTTTCAGATGCGGAAAAGGGATCTCGTCTCTGCAGTTGTTGGTTTTTCAAGACATACGACTCAACGCCCATTATCGCAAGGCTGGCTCCTGGGAATACAAGGTCGTACCATAGAGGTAACTCTTAAGACTAGTAGGTCCCGAAGAAACGTGCTCAACTTTTTGGCTCAGCTCTAGTACTATCTTTGGTCCCAAGTTAATCGATGCACCCCTCGAAACATAGGAAGAACCCCTCATTTTGTGCCAAAATTTCATAGCGAATCAAAACAAACATAGTGCAGTACTAGAACTTCGACTACAATGGGGTAAGTTAATCGATTTGCTTGGGACCAATAGGCTAGTCATGTAGTGAGCCAATTTAAAATCGTTAGTTTCCACCGGTTGGTCGTACCATGAAGTTCATTCAGAGATTTCTGTCGTACAGAAAGTTTAAAGTGGCGGTTGGCGGAGTTACTTCAGAGAGCTGAATTCAAGAAAACGGCGTTCCACAATGTTCCGTTTTATCCGTTGTTTCTTGTGAGGATCCAATAAGTTTTCGGTTATGTTTCAATATACTGCTTTTTGTCTAGCTGTTTCAGAAGTAGAAAATTGGTCGAGTAAAACTGGATTTACACTCTCGGCTGAAAAATCGGAGATGTAGCACATCTGCTAACAATCGAAACACCCAAAGCTACTCAGTGTTGAGATTAAAAGACAACCAATTGAAGCAGTATAATCCGAAGATTGTCTTTCAAGCAGCACGCTGAGGAGCTTCGGACAAGGAAGGCATCAATACAAGTGGTTCCAGAAGTACACAAATGCTTGTCCGTACCAAAAATAACACCCGGAATAGGAATGCTTAGCAGAGGAGGGGATAAAATTGTCAAGATACTAGAGCTTGCATACAGCACTGTCATCAGAAGCATCTCTGGAGCGTTCCGATCGAGTCCCATCGATTCCAAGATGGTATAATGTGGAGAATTGCCTTTCTGCTACCTATGGCGTAAAATCTTAGCAATCAAAACAAATTTGTGGCTGGAGAAAAATCAGGTATATTCAAGGGACATTCAAGAAGGTATTTATTTTCAGAAAAAGAGACAAACGCCGAAGTCTCTCAAAAATAATATAAAAACTTCAGAACTAACAATAAATAGTCCATTTTACGACATGGAATGATGCTATGTATTAATTTTACTTCTAACAGTGGTTAGGATACAGCCTCCTTTCAAATTTAATTTTGGAATTGAAAAATCAGTTGATCGGAAACGTCTTGATAAATGCTTCATCTCCTTCAGGCACATTTGAATCACAATACAAACACAATCTTCACTAACACGATTACATTAAACTACAACAGAACACAACAGATTGACGGATAAATTATTGAAATGACTTGTAGGCACAGTTATCGAACCTTAAAATCATCAATTTTGCCACATAGTTTTGTCCCAGTGCAATCTCTCTCTACCCATCTCTTTCTCACCTGCTGCGACTATACCCTCACATAGCTCGCGGTCCTCGCGGATCTCAGCGCTGCTCACGCCAAACAGTGAGAGTGAGATCCCTGTTTTTGATTACGCCGATGACAGATGATTTTCTCGCGGTCAGCAGAAAACCCAGAGTCTTCGGTTCAGGTTTTCTTCCACCCCACACTTCACGATGGTTATGCCGTCGAGCAAACGCAACGGAATGGTCAATCGGGGTTTTCGCGCTCGGAAACGCGAGAAATTCCACTGCACACACGATCACTGACAACTTTGCTCGCTCCCGACGGTAATTTTGTCCAGAAAACTCGACCGCAACTCCACCAAACACTCGCACGGACCCCGGACTCGAAAAATCACACACCGACCGACCGATTGCGAAACACTTCTCTCACTTTGACTTGGGCGGCCGACTGACGGAGATAGATGATTACGATTGATCTAGGGACGCGGTCTCTTTCCCGCTACCGTACCGCGGGGTTTGGCGGAGTTCCCGTTACGATGATTCTCTGGTGGTTCAATTGATATTTTGGAGCCCTTTCAGTAGCTCACGCTTGACACGCGCCGTCCGAAGTAAAAATAATAACAACGATGATGATGGCTCCCTCTCTTTCTCTCGCTTTGCCGTGCGCACGTGCACGTGATACTTTTTTGACGTTTCTTGGTGACCAAAACACGAAAACATCACCGCAAAAACGTCTGTAAAGTTAGGTTGGAAAGTTGTAACGATCTCTAAGAAGGTATGACCGACCATATGACGAAATTGATTGAACGACTTGTTGATGGATGAAATTTCGTTAGGGTGATAACCACAGACAAACAGCCACTAGAATGTTTTTCATCGAACACGCATTTAACGGTCAATTTAAATTTTTCTTCGCTGTTAGTACTGTAGAGGTGTAGTAGTGCTCCAAAAGAATCAGAAGAAATTGTCAAGGAAATACTAAGGACAGTTTCAAGACAATTTCTAACAGATTAAGGACATTTTGAAAAGAATTCTGAGGTGAAATCCAAGGAAATTGAGAATAACTAACAATGCGATGGTAAATTAAGCGTAAATTTCAAGTTTTCTGGAGGGAATTCATAGACTGTTATGGAGAATCATAAGACTAATGAAAAGCTGATAGCCTGGTCAACGACCAAATACAATCTTACCGCTTTGTGTGCTATGGCTTAGCAACTGACATTTCACCGGGCATTTCGAGAGAAGGAAAAGCCTCGGGAAAAGCAAACGTCTGAAAGGGCATTTCGGTTTTTTGTGATCGGAGGATCGACCGCAAAAGTGCATTTTGTTTTTGCTGAAGGATGTTGGTTGCTGCTTTCAATGCTATTGTTCGGTCAGACCGGCTATCGATGAAGCACAAAGAGTTCATCGACCTTTACGAGCTGATGACTTGCCAGTGGATGGATCAATGAAAATGCTGAGGTTTTGACAGAACTATGCTGTGGCTACTACAGTATTTTACATTTACATTTACAGAGGATTAGTCCAAGGAAGAGGCCTCGGCAAAAAAAAACCTTCTGTAAAGGTGCCGCCACACGGAGGCTATTTCTAGTATATAGCGAGCTATGTGATAGAAAACTATATTATAGCCCATAGGAACACCTAAACTATGACTTGATAGCTCATAGTTATGACTTGCAAGTTGTAGTTTAGAGCTATGACTTAGAGCGAAATTCATTGTCGTGTGTACACTCTAGCGATAGTTTCTATAATCATTATCTATTATCATAGTTGCAAGCTATAATCTATTCCATCAAGCCGGAATAGTTCATAGTTTATTGGTCATAGTTTTTTGACAGCAGTCTGTGCGCGGCGCTTTTGTTTTTGTTTTTTCGCGAGTTTGGATAGAGATTTGTATTTTGTGTGTGTATAAATGGACCGTGAAAAGAAATTTCGGCTCATCGAGTTGTGGGAGCAGCATCCGGTGCTGTGGGACCCCACAAATCCAGACCGGTTAAGGAAAGGAGCGCAGAAAAAAGCCCGTGAAGCTATAGCTGCCGTCGTCGGTCTGGACGAAGAGACCGTGAAGAAAACAATAAACGGGCTTAAAGCTCAGTTTATTGGTTCTCCTAAACCTTTGCCCTCCCATACGTCAGGCTTTTTTAAGCGGTTGAAGGAGGATTTGGCTTCCGACACCGATAACGAGGAATCAACTTGCATGATGATTGCTGCATAAGCCGGTGCCGGTGGTGTAGTGGTAAGCGTGACTGCTTTCTCACCCCAATGGGTCTGGGTTCAATCCCAGCCGAGGTCGGTGGGATTTTTCTGAGGCATAAAAATCTCTGGTCACGTATTCCTTTGGAAAGGAAGTTAAGCCGTTGGTCCCGACCCATGTGTGTTCGAATGGGTGCGATATCCTACGCAGGTGTGGAAGCTGTCTTCCTGCACATTCGATTGCCGTAAATGGATGGCAATCGATGTCCGTCGGTGATTGGCACTAGATTGCGGAACAGAGACCGACGTTAAATAAAGGAAAGGTGATTGCTGCAAGACGAAGAGGAGCACAGCGAGCAAGGTGGTTAGACCAAGTGGAGCAGGATCTTGGAAGTGTGGGACGGTCAAGAAATTGGAGACAAGCAGCTACGGCGTAACATTGTGATGCAACGAGCCGTGCTACATGGAAGCGTTGATTCAGTAAAGACGTACTACCAACCAGCTGCGACCGATCAGCAGCACAAAGTCCTTGTCTCCCTACAGTACGATCAGGTAAAGTTCTCCTTCGATTCCATTAAGCCGTACCGAGACCCGTACTTTCCCCAAAATGCTAAGTATTTTATCATAAATCACATACAGCTTCTTACTACTGTCCAGGTGGAGGTCCACTGAGGTCCACCGGGACAGTAGTAAGAAGCTGTATGTGATTGATGATAAAAGACTTAGCATTTTGGGGAAAGTACGGGTCTCAGTACGGCTTGATGGAATCGAAGGAGAACTTTATCTGGTCGTCCTGTAGGGAGACAAGGACTTTGTGCTGCTGATCGGTCGCAGCTGGTTGGATATTTTCTACAGCGGATGGAGAGACACCTTTTCCCGACCAATGGTGCCAGATCAACGTGTGAATGCCATGACAGATGATGACGCGAGAGAAGAAGCTGTTGGAGAAATAAAAAAAATCACTTAGCTCGTGGTTAAAAGTGACATTTCGAAAGTTATTCTGTATGTTCGAAAATCCCTGTGCTGTCGATCGACCGGTTTTCGAGAAGAACTCAGCCACGGTTGTCAAAATTTAACTTCTTGTCTGTCAGAAATAACCATGCTCGAATAGCAGGGTTCATCGATAACTTTCTATATGTCAAATCTTAACCAAAAGTTAAAAAAAATTCGCCAAATGGTTCAGAGCCTAAAGGTTTTTGCTCTCGTTATTATTGTCGTTTTGTTTTACATGGAGAGAGTTCGACACTGCATACAACAGAGCCAAGCACCAGTACTGGTTTTTCGCAACAAACGAAAAAGAGGCGAGGAAGACATGACATGTTTAGTACTAGGATTTCGACTAGAATGGGGTACGTTAATCAATTTGCTTGGGACCAATAGGCTAGTCAAGTAGTGAGCCAATTTTGAATCGTTAGTTTCCACCGGTTGGTTAGACCCTACCTGCTGGAAGGGTTCTCAAAGTGGAACTGAACCTGAACTTGAGTGGAGTAGGGCATGATTGTAAACTGAACAAATCGTGTTAATTAATCTCTGTGAAACAAAGTAGCCAAGGATACGCCGAAGCCAGGTCCGTTTGTTAGAAGGTTACCGCGGCAACGGATAAACAACCTAGGTAAATAACAAAAGGATACCATGACAGCAAATGTATAACTAAGGACTCCATAGTAACCAATAAACAACTATGAATTTTCACCTAATATTAGTAAATTCTAATCCAATCGTCGTACGAGCAAGAGAGGGAAGCTGCTGAGCCCGAAGACGAACCTGCCGATGAAGAATCAGATTTGAACAACGATGGACAACATCTCGAAGATCTAGACGACAACATATCAGATGAAACAACAGCCGCTGCGCTCCCTTCGCAAATAAATAGTGAGGAAACTCATGGAGAATCGTCAAGGCGTAGCGAACGGGAGCGCAAGTTTCCGGATGTTCCTGAAACCTACAAGCATGTGCTAGTTCGGGAAGACCGAGACAAGTGGCTGCAAGCCATTCAGGACGAGTTGCAGTCAATGGAGAAAAATCAGATGTGGAAGATGGTACCATGCCCCACTAACGTGAAGCCATTAAAAACCAAGTGGGTTTTCCGGATTAAGGAGGACGAGGCCGGACGGATAATACGATACAAGGCCAGACTTGTCGCGAAGGGTTTTCTGCAGAAACCAGGACTGGTGGCCAACCTTGCGTCGATTAGAATTATCCTTGCGATTGGTGTTCACGAAGGCTTCTTCTTTCGCCGGATGGATGTAAGGACGGCCTTTTTTCACGGCGAGCTAAAGTAATCAATCTTCATATCAATCCTCCAGATGGTACGAAGTCAGCACCAGGGATGGCGTGCAAGCTGCAAAAGTCGCTTTATGGACTTAAGCAATCACCACGGTGTTGGAATCACAAGTTCATCAGAAGCCAGATCGAGAAACTGGGCTTTGTACGATCAAAAAGAGACTACTGCTTGTACGTCAGGTACCAGGAGAGGGGCGAGCTTTATATCATCCTGTACGTCAATGATCTTCTGAACAAGCTAAAAAAGAAGCTCTCCACTGTTTTTGAGATGACCGACTGCGGAGAATTGTGACACTTTCTTGGTATACGGATCAATTACAACCGTAATGGTGTATCTTTGAGACTGTCACAGGAAACCAACGTTACGAAGGTATTGGATCGTTTTGGAAAGGGCGAATGCAATTTCAACTATCTCGGGCGGTTCCAGCAGGATTCATCAACCGTACATTGGAATGCATTGAAGCGAGTGGTTCGGTATCTTAGCGGGACAAAAAACCTGAATACCAGAGGAACAGCGAATCAGTACCGCTCATAGGCTATGCCGATGCCGATTGGGCGGCCGACTTCTATGACCGAAAATCCGGGAGCGGCTTAATTTTCATGGTCTATGGATGCACCGTATCCTGGAGTAGCAAGAAACAATCCGCCGCATCATTGTCGTCAAGCGAAGCTGAGTATGTTGCTCTTAGTGCAGCAGCAGCAGCAGAGGCCGTGTGGATCAGCGGCATTTTGAACGACCTGCGAGTGGCTGTGACACCATGACGAACGTCAGCGACATCGGTGAATTCGGCGTTACCGTCGAGCATGAAAATGTTGCCGTCCCGAGTGCGGCAAAAGCCAAGCTTCCTCCACTGGTGGTGATGAAAGTGCCACTCAACACGCTTATTGGCGATCTCACATCGCTGGGCGTTGCAGCTGAATTCAAGCTGAGCAGAATCGGCACC